AAAAAAAGAAGAAAAAGAGAGAGAATCGACCGTTTACATAAAAAGATTTATGCGTCTATAGACTGTGTAAGCAAACAGGGGCGTCCAAGCCATTGATTCCGATGCTGTTAGTAGCAACAAGTCAAATCACCTTGGCTTATTACACTCACACATTTTCAAACTCTTTTGAAAGTGTCTTGTTATGTCTGTGTTTATCTACAGTTGTTGACTATACAAAGTCTTCATCCAACAAACTATCCTTTGCTTTAGGCGCCTTATTCAGCCTTGGTGTCTTCACTCGAATCACTTTTCCGTTATTCGCTCTTCCTATTGGCATTGCATTTATAGTTCATGTATATAAAAGGTATTATATTATTCATATAAAGTTTAGCAGAAGGGGAGCTTGACAATTTTATAGTCGCAATATTCATCATTTAGTTTCATTGACTTTGGGCTTCTTCAGTTTAACGGTCTTTTGTATTACGGCCGACTCGGTATATTATGGCACTTTGTTCTTAACCTCAAATGACAAGCCATTTAGAGATGCACACCAGTTCATATCAACATTGTTTAATCCAATGGCTCTTGCTAGCTTTAAGGCAGAGGGAAGTATCGTTATCACGCCTGTTAATAACTTGCTATATAATATGAATGCTAAAAACCTTCAACTACATGGTATTCACCCGAGATATACTCATCTTGCTATCAATCTCCCTTTGCTCTTTGGACCGTTAGCTATCCAGAGCCTTTTGGAGATACCATCTGTTCTTAAAAAGGCGACTGTGGACACAAGCAAGCACTTTCTCTATATTCTTATAGGTATTGTGTTCACTAGCCTAGTGGGGCTTTCGATCATACCTCATCAAGAAGCTAGGTTTCTATGTCCGTTACTTATACCTTTAGTACTGATCTATACGTGGAGACGACCCAATTTATCCCTTTCATTCTGGTTAAGCTGGTTCTTATTCAACATTATAACAACTTATGTGTTTGGTGTCATCCATCAGGGTGGAATTGTTCCTGCAATGCGCTTTCTTCATTACCAAACAAAAGGCATACACAACTGCTATGTACTCACAAATGGTGGATTGTCCTGTAGCGTGGATGGATCTACTGGTAACAGCTCTGATAATACATCAATGTATGTCTCTCTAATCCAAAGTTTATAGATGTAGATAATTACTATAATATTACTACAAAGCTGGTGTTTTACAAGACATATATGCCACCACAGCATTTATTAGCTGCGCCGCTAGGTGATTAAATAGCGAAATACTACATGTATTTTATATTAACATTAGTTTACACGTAGTTGAAGGAAATCATCATATTCGTGTATTAGATTTTTCTAGTCGCTATGATGATCTGGTAAAAGAACTCGAACAGAGTTCTGGTGTAATTCTGCGAAGACGTAAAATGGGCGCAATCGACTTTGCTAAAACGAGTACGAAAAATGCATATGAGAGGTATGTGTGTGTATACGTCAGGTGTAAATTGATAGCTAACAATCTGCTTAGGACCTTATTCATTACACCAAGCTTCATCAACCTACCCATTATACCTCATCATAGATACATGCTACTAGCGACCTTTAGTCCCCATGTTGGCTTTGATGATATGGATAAGATGATCAGTAGAGCGCAAGAAACGAATTCTGCAGAGACACAGATGAACCTAAACGTTTTCCTTATGCTATCAGACAAAGACGATACATCATAAATGGCCACAAATAAACATCTTAAATCCTTTCTTTCTGTCTTGGGCAGCTTTGACTTAAGAACAGCTTGCATCTTTTCACAAGTACTTTATACAAACCATAAATAACATTGTGTGATTGAGAGTCATATGGTAACTTTCGATGTGCCTCTTTTTAAGAGAGCCATTAAACGTCGCTTCCCCTTATTGCTGATAAAAAGTACTACATGAACTTTTGGTCCATTTTTTGTCACGCCCTTTCTTCCGGGAAAGGACATATTTTTAAAGCTGCATTACATGGGCAATCATAAGTAGAGTGCTTACAGTTGCACACAGACCAAGGCAGTCACAAACGCCGTTTTCCAATTCCAGATTTCTGCCACCTTTTCTTTTCTCTTTAGGATCACGAAGCAACCACATAAACATGAGCAACGAACAGTCTCCGGCCTCAACATCAACAGGAAAAGGTCGTATTTACTTTGGGTCCCTTGAAGGTCAAGAGTCACTTAAACGACCACGTGTTGAGGAAAATACAGCAACGTCTGGTGGAGGAATCGATTTGGACACATTAGGTTTTTATATAATCTTTAAAATGTCAACGTCAGTCTAACACGCGATTTTATATATAGCGGAAAGTGCAGAACCTGCATATTCAATAAGATCGGGTGAAGCAGATAAAAGAGTACTTGAAGAATTCGAGAGAAGAAAAAGAGCATTCACACTTGCTGTGCCAACTGATGATGGCAAAGTTCGACAAAAGCTTCGAGAGTTAGGCGAACCACAATGTTTATTTGGTGAAGGGGTACGGCAGATCGAGTAACTTGAAAAGATATTAACTTGTTGTTTAGCCAGGAGATCGTCGTGATCGTTTGAGATACCTGTTGTCAAAGCTAGAAGGCAGACCCATTGAAAGCGATGAAGAAGAAGAGAGTGAAGAAGAGGTAAAAAAAAGTACACATGTGTGTACATGTGACAGTTGGTCTTGACGTATTGGAGGATAGAATGAAGAAGAATTCTTCACGCCTGGATCGTTAGAACTTCTTGAGGCAAGAAAGTTTATGACAAAATATTCTCTACCAAGGTATTCTGGGAAATATACTAGACATATGAATTCATACTGACATGAACTTATATAGAGCAAAATCACGTAATCAACGACAAAAAATAGAAGAAACAATCCCGCTTGCCCTGTTAAAGGCTAGTAGAAAAGAGCTTCACCAAAAACTCAAGGTATGAAAGAAATGATTGACTATAATCGTTCTCTTATGGATTTATCATAGTCTTATGCAAACTGGTCTTCTCAAATTGCAGACGATCGACCTGTCGCTCAATGTGCTTTCAGTCCCAACTCAAAGCTACTCGTAACAGGCGCATGGTCCGGACTTTGCAAAGTATGGAGTGTACCTGAATGTGAGCCAATATTGACGTTAAAAGGACATAATGATAAAGTAGGTGGTGTTGCATTTCATCCAGAGTCTACAATTAGTTTAGAAAAAAGTGTGCTTAACTTAGCCACTGGTGCTGCTGATGGCTTGATTAGACTATGGAGCTTGGAAAAGTGAGTGTTACTGTTATTTGCCTTGCTGATCCATAACCTTACATCATTATTAGAGAAACACCCATTGCTACTTTATCTGGTCATGTTCGACGAGTCGCTCGTATTGCATTTCATCCTTCTGGCAAGTACTTGGGTAGCGCAAGTTTTGATGGATCATGGCGTCTTTGGGACGTAGAAACAACACAAGAGCTTTTATTACAAGAAGGACACTCTCGAGAGGTATACGCAATCGGATTTCAGTGTGATGGAAGTTTAGTAGCGACAGGGTAAGCCAATGATGTGCTAATTCAAAGAGCAGGTCTAATGTTCTATAGTGGACTGGATGCTATTGGAAGAGTGTGGGATACAAGAACGGGTAGATCTTCCATGACTCTTGAAGGACACATTAAAGATATCGTAGGATTAGATTGGTCACCTAATGGGTAAGTAATGGTCTTATAATGTTTACAATGTCTAAATGATATGTATCACACAGATACCACTTGGCCACAGCCAGTGCTGATAACTCTGTAAAGATCTGGGATATCCGAACATTACGAAACTTATACACCATCTCTGCTCATCAATCGCTTGTATCTGATGTCAAATATAGCAGAGGTGTTCCTGGCACTAACAACAATAGTCCATCTGATCCTAATAATATCGCTGGCTTATATCTTGCAACTTCTGGATATGATGGATGTGTGAAGATTTGGTCAGGAGACGACTTTAGATTAATAAAAAGCTTAGATGGTCATGATGGAAAGGTGATGGGTGTAGATATTGCACAAGGTAAAAGAAAACGAAAAGAATATGCATGTATGTATATATATTGATCCTCTTTTGATAGATAATCGATTCATTGCCTCGACTGGGTTTGATCGTACCTTCAAGCTGTGGGCAGATGAAAATCTAGTTATTTAACTTAATAAACACTACTTATTGAGCTTTCTTCTTTATGTTTTTAGTTTCTATCAGCGCACATAGCTGAGACTGTCTAGATAAATCATGTTTAATTTGTTACATATCAACGATCTATGATATGACAACGTAATGCTTTTTTTAAAGCGGAAGCAAATAATATGGCCCTTCTTTTTCGATCTCAGTTGACAACTTCCCTTGCCTTTAAAAGGACAAAAAATAAAAATAAAAAAAAAGCATTTCAACATGGAATCAAATGTAAAGCAGTAACAAAGTTTCGAAATTAGTACAAGCTTCTTAATTACACCTCTCTCAACTTAGGCTACTAACTTGGAACAAGAGAGTCGCCAAGGTGAATTCCAAAACTACTTGTTTTCACTGGTAAAAAAAAGAAAAAAAAAAAATAGAGATCCCTTTTTTGACATCTTTTATATATTTATAGTTGGCACAATCAGCAGGATCAAAAGCTCATGTGAATGCTGTTACCATTCTTGGCGCCAAAGTCACTCGTCCAGCCTTTCTCTCAAGTGCAACAAAGAAATTACTTGAAGCAAAGACAGTAGCTGAGGTGATCAACCTTTCTCAAGACACGGCACAACAGCTATCACAACTAGATATATTCGATCATGTTCAGGTCTTATTAGAAAATGCCTCAGATAATGATCCATTGGCTGTCCCAGATTCAGTTAATATTGTATACAAGGTTAAAGAAAAGAGTCGAGTGTTCATAAAGACTGGAACTGAAATTGGAAACAATGAAGGAAACATGGTAAATAGATATGAATGAAATGATTTGACGTGAATTAATATTTATATAACAGAACGGATCAATCACGATACGTAATGTATTTGGAGGTGCAGAATTGTTAGAAACTGTTGCTTCGTTTGGTACAAGAACTAGTTCTGCTTTTCAAGTAAAAAGAAGGAAACAATGAAAAAAAAAAATAAAAAAAATTAATCAATTCATCTTAGTTTACACTTGGTAAACCAATTGGGGCATCTCCTGACTCAAGACTCGATATCAATGCTCATAGAGTACTTTATAATAATACACTTGTATCATCTTATGAAGAACTGGCAAGAGGTGCAGGTTTACGTTATAAGGCAAGTATATAGGATGATAACGCATTTTAACAGAGAGAAGTATTTATATCTATTTAGACACTTTCTAGATTTGGCTATCATGAACTTAGTTATGATCTAACTTGGCGTTCTATTGATCGTATGGCGCCTGGTGCATCATTAAGGTAAGAAAGGAAAACAAAAAAAAAAGTAAGAAACCGATTTAACCTCTTTCTGTGTTTAGTATCCGTAAAGAAGCAGGACATTCACTCAAGTCATCTATCAACCACGTATTTGTACGAGATCGTCGCGATGATATGCTCTTACCTTCCAATGGTCACTATATCCGTCTCGCCAACGAGTTTTCTGGTGCATTAGGCATCGGTAACGCTCATTTCTTTAAATCTGAGCTTGAGACGCAGTTCTGTCATCAGATAGGAGGCAATCAACCGTTAGCAAACAAAGAAGGCGAACCTGAGGGTGTGCATCCTGGGCTGGTCATTAGTGCCACCGCCCGAGCTGGATTCCTTGCCGAACTTGGTGGCTACCCCAAAGCATCTACCGTATCAGATCGATTTGTCCTGGGTGGACCGTTATCAGTTCGAGGATTCAGAATTGCTGGAATCGGGCCTAGAGATGGACGTGATGCTCTCGGTGGCAACATGTACTGGGCTGTAGGTCTCAGTGCCATAGCTCCTCTGCCAACACTAGAAAGTAAGCCACTTAGGGCTCACGCATTTGTCAATGCTGGAACCAATATCCCATGGAACAAAAGAGCATCATCTTTACAATCAACAGCAGAAGCATTGAGTAGATCACCAAGTACCTCTGTCGGTTTCGGTTTAATTTATCGTCACAGCATTGCAAGAATCGAACTGAACTACTGTATTCCTTTGACTGCCGCAAAGGGAGATCAATTAAGAAGAGGATTGCAGTTTGGCATTGGTTTAAACTTTTTATAAAATATACATAAACATATTAAACAAGGATGAAAGACAATAAGCTTATGCTTTTTTGCTGAAAAGCAGTTTTAGCTCGTCTAATTTACGGTTTTTGGTTTCATCACGAGACATATACAAATCATTTACAAGGGTATGCTTAGAGTCTTGAATCTCAAGTATGCGTTCTTCGACTGTGCCTTTAACGATAAACCTTGTCACTATCACTTCTTTCTGTTGACCAAGTCGATGAACGCGATCGATAGCCTGTGACTCTATTGCGAAATTCCACCAGGGATCCTAGTATTTGTCTAGTTAGCATTGCGTATTTAATAAGGTTTTTCTGTACCATCATGACAACACGGTTTGCACAGGTCAAGTTTAGCCCAACACCTCCAGCTCTGAGACTGATAAGTAACACATTAGCCCCTTTTTCTCCTGATGTTGCAAATGTGGACAGGACCTTTTCTCGTTGTGGTTGACTATGTGAACCATCTAGTCGAGTAAAGTGAATGTTTTCGTAATCAAGTGCTTCTCCAATAATATCCAAGAAGCTGGTAAATTGAGAAAACACAACAGTTTTGAGTTTCTCCTTATCATACTGGCGTAGTAGTTTCATAAGTGCATTTATTTTTGTCGACGGCTTGAATCCTCCAACCGCCTTTCGTACGTTTATTTTGGGATTCTTATCATCCTCCCCAGGCTGTTGTTGAGCAATTTCTAAAAGTTGGTTCTGTAAGATAGGCCCAGTTCGACATATTGGACAATCACCAGGCTGGCCATGGTCCTCTTTTTTCTAAACATACAAAAACCAGTGAGATGTTATGCTTTACTTTATATATATATATATACCTGAAAATAATCCATCACACAAGGTCTACAAGCCATGTGCATACAGGGCATCGCAATCATGGAATCCATTGACTCAAAACAGATGGGACATTCTTCTGGAACAGCTGGCAAATTTCCTTGTTCGGCTATGGTACCTGTCTTTTCGGTGATAGACGACCCTTTCCGCTGCATTTCTAATAGATTTTGTAAAACGTTTAAACGATAACTGTTGCTACTCTCTGCAGATGATGAAGATACTTGTGAAGTTGTTGCATGTTTTGCAACTAAATCTTCCAATAATACACTTCTGCCACCCTCTGCTTTCACTTCTGTCGTCTTTCCTTGATTGTTTTGAAGCACAAGGTATGGGTGACAACAGATCTGCCGCAGTCTTGTCAAAAGTTGAAATATAGAAGCATAATTTTTACCAAGTTTTCCTGCTTCACAAAAGTAAGAAAACTTAATTTTGGAGTCGTTGTATATTGCATCATAAATATCTTGCTCTTCTGGAGAAAATGAAAGGTATTCTATTCGGATCGTCTTTGAAGGCAAAGGTACCATAGGCTGGCCTCGAGAATCTCTCATATTCTTTGTTCGTCGTAATACAATAGGCTCCAACACAGTTTGGACAGCAGCCAGAGCACGCGGATCCTTTTTTTCAAATGGCAAAGTAATGAATGTTTTCCAGAATGCGTGGTTGGCCCAAGGCTCGTGTTTTAAAAATCGAACGAGCGCGTATAAATCATCAAGCTTGTTCTGGATGGGTGTGCCTGTTACTGCCCATCTTCTGGTCGCAAAGATATCTTTACAGGCATTTGATGTTTTGGTTGATGGATTCTTTATTTGGTGTGCTTCATCTAAAACTACCCGCCAAAATTCAATGTCATAGAGGGTTGTAGCTGATGCATCTTGTTGCGCCCGTGACCATTCTCCAACTAAAACGCCATAGGTCGTAATCAATACATCAGGAGCAGACCCATTCCACTGACATAAAGTGTTTAAGGATAATGATGAGCGATCATCTCCATAAAATACCTCAAGTCGAATTGAATTTGGTTTGGACGCTCTAATGATTTCATCACGCCATTGAGCTAGTAAAGACATGGGACAGACAATCAATGTGGTAGGTGACTTTTTGGATTGACTTTTAAGCTGTATTCTACTATGGTCATATCGGGACTTGTCACTGTGGATCAAACTTAGCACTTCTATTGTTTTACCAAGTCCCATTTCTATGTACTTCTATTTCAGATACTCCCACAAAACACTATAAAGGAATCATTCTTACCGTCTGCTAAAATACCACCTCTTTCTTGTGTGTTTGCTTCTGGAAATTCTAAGCTTAGTTCACCTATGAACTTGCAACATTAAGCATAAAGCCAATAGCGTATAAATCAAAAGTCTCGTATTTACCTGTGTATGGGTTAAAATAAAAGAATTGGTATTCGCTTGTCGTGTCTGGAAAGCTGTATTCTTCCCATAAGGGATGTAATGCACGCATATCCAAATCACCATCTTCGTAATGGAGGCTTTCTTTAGCTGTCATCCATGCAAGTGCTCTTTTCTGATACTCTTTTAATTGTAATGTCAGTGTATCCGGGGATTCCATAGGCCTAATCTCTGCATCAAACACTTGTGCTCTTTCATATATCGTGTTGAGCTGATCATCCGATACCTCTTTGTTTTCTTCTTCGTCCTCATTAAGCTCCTGCAACTCATCACGCTCGAGTGAATCAGATTCTGTTCTTGTGTTGATACTTTGAAGTATCATGTCCCAAGTATCGTCTCCTCCCAGCATTCTTCTGATGGATGATCGCACAGGTCTCATGCCTAGGTTCTTAAATAGCTGAACTAAAGATGTCTTTCGTAAAGTGCTTACATCCTCGACTTTGTCACGCTGTCTGCTCTTATTCGCTTTTGGAATATAGTTGTGAAGAAAGGTGTTTATATGCATAGCAGTTGGCATGATGTAACATTTTATTGTTATGATAATATCTTCTCCAATCTTTAGCTCATTTGGGCACCAGACAACCGTTCCTTCAAACTGGCAAATGTTCTGATCAAGTAATATAGATACATAATTGGCAATCTCTCTTGGTAATCTACCTAGTTGAGTTCCTTCATGTGCAAATCGGACAATTCTGTTTGTTGTATCAGTAATGTTTTTATCTCTAGAAATCTCTATCCGATCTCCTTCTTTTACTGGACTCTTCCCCACATAAAGTGACCAACCTACAAGATTATTAAAAAGATAAATTCAACCTTGTTATTATATCTACCGCTTATGACGAGATCGCCAAGATAGTATCTATTTGGTTTCTTTTTCTTCTTTGTCTGCGTAGTAACAGAAGACGGCGTAGTAACAGAAGACGGATTAGAGAAATATAGATCTATAGCTTCTTCAATGTTGTTGTTGGTTCTATCTAATAGCGATTCACATATTTCAGCTGAAGCATTTAAAATGGCCTTTAAGGATTCAATCAAAGTGTTGTCTCTAGGTCGTTTTGACATGTAAAATAAATTGGGCAAATGTTCAAGACGCGAAAAAAAGTGTGCACTACGCGCGCGCACGAGGGAATCCCACTATTTTTCGCGCAAAAAACAAAATACGACCTTGGCCAATAAGAGACTTCTTTTTTTTTTTTAATAAAAAAGTGTAGTGCCTCTCATGCCTATCATAGCTTCTCATTGAGCCTCTCATACGATATTCTTTAGGTCAAAGGAAAAGCATAAATCATTATGAAAGAATATCTCGTTGATCTAAATAATATTGATTATCATTACAAATTATTCACACACTGATAAAAAAAGATAATTTCAGACAACAAATGAGACAACAAATAATGATAAGAAAACCTATCAGAAGCAAAAGAATGAAAAAGGAATGATTATTATTTTAGTTATTTACATTGACATTAAATACGTACATTATAAAGAAGAGGATTTATAAGAGAAAAAGAAGTAGAAAAAGTGAGTAAACATATAAAGAGATTATTAATATCTTACCTGAGTGCATTAAATAGGGCTGGCAATAACCAGTCCGCAAACATAAACAAAGAAAAAAAAAAAGAGAGAGAACATAGAGAGAACATAGAGAGAACATAGAGAGAGCATAGAAAGAGCAGCCAAAGGAGTGGAAGGAGTTGAAGAAGTAGATAGGACCAAAGTTTGGTAAGAACCAAAACACCTCCAGCTAGAACCGGGTTAGTTTCGATTATAATCTATAATACTACATATCATTTTCTTACAAGAGTAAAGAATATAACGTACCTTAGGGCTAGTTGGGGAGTGGTTAGTCTTACTTTTTGGTCCAAAGAAGTCAAGATCGGACTGCTTATATTAAATCTCTAACAACTTTTTCAGTTACGTGTGTTTTATAAGTACTGACCATATTATACAAGTCTCAAAAACATCAAGCTCATTTTATGTATTATTATACGCTTTCAACTTGCAAACAATAAAGAAACGTTTGTAGTGAAGGTCATTAAGTGTAATCGTTATCATTGATTTTAAGTTATACGCGAGTAACTTCTTTGTTTCTGTAATTACAACTACATCTACAATTTCTATTACTGCAAATGTCGCAATAGCTGCTATATGTGATGCTGTACTTATTCTATTGTGGTAGAATATTAATAGCATAGTAATTTGCCTGATTCATACAACCATTTACCTTTCAAGTACATAAACGAATACAAGCAGTGTAAGCCCTTTTGTTCTTGCTATACACGTACATCCACGTCAAAGAAATGAAGATATCAGGGTCTATGAAGTCAAACAGCTAAGAACAATTTGTCTATTTACATCTTGCAATTTCAGAAAGTGAAAAGACCAATTTTGTCACTTGCTTAACAATGAGGATTCAAATATATTGACTGATATTAATAATCTGAAGTGTGAAGGTTTAAACATATATTAAAACACTTCTTATCGTGCGTTATTTCATTATATTTTTTTAAGTGATGCTCTCTATTCAAAGAGTTTTTTACTTCAAAGAAATAAAAGGTGCATTACTTTCTTTCATAGGCTAAGATTGACCAACCATTTGTTCTTCGAACCTTTGAAGACGGCGAATGACTTCATCTTGATTTTCCAAAAGCTTTTCAATGTATATATCAATAGGAGACATTTTAAAAGGGAAAATGAATGGCATGTACTTTGAAATTTTTTGTAGGTATCAAACAGGCTTAGCGCCTTCTACTGCAGGCATTGATCCATTCTAAGACAACTTCTTGACATAGGATACGTTGAAGTGATGGTCCCTCTTTCTCATTTGAGGAATCGCTGAATCTAGCGAGATTGAGAGAAGATCGAAGTATTGCTGGGACACTGTGATCGTCTAGAGCACGACCGTACGTATGGTGTCGCCAGCACATTGCGTGAAATATAAGATAATAATTTATGAAAATAGTGTAATATATATACTCTTTATAAGCAATTGCTGCAAAGTAACAATATCTTTCTATGAAATATAAGAGAGAAAGGGGGAATGTAATATGATGATATCAATGCTATGCTGCAATGTCATTCCAAGCAATAACAAACATTAAACCTAATCCAACAAGCATTGCAGCGAATTCTGTGAATGCTTGCTTTCTATCCTTTTTCAGATTGCCTGTGACATCGAGTAGTTCGGGTATGACACCAACAGTAGCAATATACAAAAATCCACCAGCAGCGAAAGGTATGACCAAATCACCAACACGAAGGTCAGTACCTAATAAGCCCGTAGAAGTAATAGCGCTTGCCTTTTCTTGAACACCACTCGAGAGCGATGATTCCTCAATCATGATACCAATAAATGTACCCAAAAATGCGCCAACAGCAGTGGTGAACTGTGCCATCATAGCCTTCTTCTTGCTAAACCCTGATTGAACAAGAATAGCATAGTCGCCTACTTCATGAGGAATTTCATGAAAGAATACAGCAACAGCGGTAGTAGCACCTACAGCTGGTGAGGCATAAAATGATGCTGCCATGGCAAGACCATCTGTCATGTTGTGAGTGAAATCGGCCAAAAGATTTAAATACGCGCTTAATTTGATTCCTTGTTGATTCTTGGCTGTCATTTTGTCTTGTTCTTCTTCCTTCTTGTCAGCTGTCTTTCTTTGTCTTAAACCTTCCTTCTCATTGTTATCATTTTTAACTGATGAAGAGGTTCCAACTTCTTTAACATCATGACCATGACTGTGGTCATGACCATGGCTATGTCCACTACCACCGTTTACTACACGCATCATTTTGTCCATAAAGAAAAAGAAGAATAAGCCTACAAAGAGACCTGTGCCAATAAGAACATTCTTTTGGTTGTCAATGGTAATAACTGCATTTTCCTCGGTATGTTCACCCAAGAAGGCATGAGGAAGTAAATGTAAAAATACGTCGCCGAGAAGACCACCTGTAGTAAAAAAAGTGAATACAGACTGAATATATTTTTGTTGTTTATAGTTCACTCACCCACAGCAAAACTGACAAGAACATTTAAAGCACCTGTGTCAATGTCAGGAGGAACGAAATATAACAACAGGTTTGGGAATATAGAAATATATGCTGTAGCCAAGATAGAGTTGGTCATGGCATTTCCTGGAAATAGAAATGCAAATGCAGCTGCCTGGAAAGACATTTTTTTTTTTTTTTTTACAAAGGGTAAAAGAAGAAAGAACAAAAAAAAAAAAGTCAATTTAATAAATATATTGGATGTCCAATTTTGGGAATTCAAGACATTAATTTGATATTGAATCAATACAACTCTTTATAGTCACCACCCGTTTGATCTTCATTATCAGTCTTTTTTCTTTATTATTTAAAAAGACAACATTTAATACATAAAATGAGTTTGATATATTTAATAGAAGAGAGAGGATACTGATATGGGCTCTCTTTTCTATATCATGATTTGTTGTCTATTAGTGCGCGAGCAATTTCTGACCAAGTACACCATTTAAACATGTATATTTGTATATATTTTACATATTTTAGACCGAGTTTATACAAGTACACATCACCTCAAGAAGGATAAAGAAAGAAAAAAAAAATGAGAGACGGAGTAAATAGAGGGTCTCTTTTCTTTCCTTTTAAACAATGTCTGATTCGAGTCAAAACTCTCTTATTGATCATGAACAATATAAAAAAGATATTAAAGGTAGCTGAAGATAAGAACAATAAGAGATGCTCATTACTGTTATAGATATATTAAGTCATTCCGACCTTACGACCATCACAGCCAAAAAGATTCGACTAGAGCTAGAAAAACGAACGGGTCAATCCTTGGACGGTATAAAGAAACAGATAAACGGTCTGATTGAAGAAATGTTTCAAAACGTGCATAACGATTCCAATGTTGAACATAACAACAAACAGGATCAAACTCGTAGAATTGAGGATCTTGTAATTAACCATCACGGGATACCAACGAAAAAGAAGACCAAAACACCCAAAAATACAAAAAAGAGACCAGCGGAGAAGAAGCAAAGGGACATGCCTCTGCTAAAGGTGCTTCCTCCGTTATCTCATATTATTAAAACTGAATACGTAAGTTTATATCATATCCTTGTTCTCGTCACTTATGTATAATCAGTGTTCCCGTACTCAAACTGTCAGCAAAATGTGGGAATACATCAGAGAGCACAACTTGCAGGATGAAAAGGATAAGCGTTATATCAATTGCGATGATTACTTTATACAACTATGTGACGGTGAGAAGAGGATCAATACCTTTACGCTAAATAAATACATTCAGAAATACTTTGAAAAGCTTTCAGATGAAGAACAAGAGTTAAGAAAACCGCCATCGACTGAAACAAAAGAGCCACCTGCCAAAAAGCCGAAAAAGAATCCACGTGATATGCCTATTGTCAAGATACTTCCGCCTTTAAGCGATATTATCAAAACTGAATATGTAATTCATATGCATATATATATTTATAAATATCTAATATATCTTTTTTTGCTAGTGCTCACGTACTCAAACGGTTAGCAAGATGTGGGAGTATATCAGAGAACATGGTTTGCAAAATAAAGATGATCGAAGATTAATCGATTGTGACAGCAAGTTCAAAGAATTATGTGATGGAAAGGATCAAATATCATCCTTTGCTATGAATAAATACACTCAAAAGTGCTTTGTAAAGATTCCTGAAGAAGAGCAAAAAGCAATTAAGTTACGGATATATGGCGACAAGCAAGACAACGAAGAAGATGATGATGAAGAAGAAGACGGAGAGTGAAAACATGTATAAAAAACAATTTTTGGGAAATAAACATAGTTCGACTACAGGAGATTCCTATTTCCAAGCTGTAGATAGTCTAATAGACTATAGCTGGTTGATATATTCAATATAAAAATATATATCAAAGCTTTCAGTTCAAATAGCCTCAACTATTACATTTGTGCACGAAGTAGCATCATACGTAATTACTTTGTGCTGTGTTCCAAAAATCATCCTAGACTTGCAAACAAGTCTTTGATAATTTGATCAAGTAGCATAGGGGGATTAACAAACACTTTGTCCCCAAGACGGCCTCAATGCCTTGACAAGTTCTAAATATATTTGGCTTGTCACTTGAAATGATGCGTTACCCATTAGTGACTCTTCAAGTAGTGTTTAAGAAGAAAAGGTTGTTCAAAAATAAGTATATATTTAATGTGATTACTCTTTGTCGATAAATGCAAGGCTCAGCATTTAAATCAAAATTAACGTATTGATTACTATGAATGAAATAGCTGCCACGATAGTTTAGTGCTACTGAATCACATGTTTAACAATATAAGCCTACCATAAAGTCAACCAATGGGGAATGAAGACTAATGTTCTCCTTAATATGACCTCCTTAAAATAATTCATGCAGCCAAGGAATTTTTTTTCAACTCAGGAACGCTTTTCAAAGTCACAATGTAAACAAACCAAAAACTATAAAAGAAGGCTCTCATTCCAACCTTTTTTTCCTCTACACTCGAACTCTATAGTTTGCCCAATTCTGAGATTGAAGGGATGTTCCTAGAGCATCTTCGGATGTTGAAGTGCCGGGTAGCTGGTCTTTCCCGCTTCAGAGGGAGAGCAAGGGTTCTTATTTTTCTTCTCTAAGCAATATGCCTTCTTTTTATTATTAGAATTAATATAAATGAAAAACAAAAGATAAATTTATCCCTACCAAAGCACAGAAAAAAGCCACTTTAATAAGTTTCATCTCTAAATAACAGAAATATAACAAATCAAAGTAATCTTTCTCTTCCGTAACTCATGAACAAGGTCATCAGTCAATCATTTAGACCCATTGAAGATGGGCTCCGCAAGAAGAATAGACAAGACTTGACGAAGAGTATGCTGGCTAATTAGCCTAAAATACGAAAGCGTGTTTATTTTTATGACCTTAATAAATACGGATATCGAAATTTTAGTAGGTGTGGCTGTATGGTCCACTCGCATGAATTTAAAATTTAAATGAGCGGAAAAAATTCAGGTGGCTTAATTACAGTAGTTTCTTTTGAGCTTTCAATATAAAATGACAACCAACGATGACAAAATTGAATGGTATCGCCTTGAAGATCTTGATCCTGAGGATATTGATGACGAAGATGGTGATATGATTATTGAACAGCGCTTAGAAGTTTATAACGAGGTAATAATGATCACATTAACAAAAAGTTTGATCTAAGCATGATTTGTATTAGGCTGCCCTCGAACGCATTTCAGACGACATCAAATTACAAGATTTACCTTGGATTGAGACGCTGACAGTTGTTTCAAAAGAACCTATTAATGTTCCAGACGTATTTGATGATCTAAAAAGAGAAGAAGCATTTTACAAACAAGCACTAGAGGCAGCTTATATGGCTAAAGAAAAACTAAAAGAAGAAGGTGCACCATTTTTAGTACCAGAGGACTTTATTGCGCCCATGTTGAAGAATGATGAACATATGGAAGAGGTCTATCAAAAATTAGTAGAGGAAGCTAAAAGTGGGAATGAAGATGCATTATACAAACTGCATGCTTTTGAGAGACAACGAAAGAAGTCTGGAAACATGAATGAAAGACAGAAGCTATTGAACAGAAGTATGTTTCATTAACAAGCTTATATATATCATCTTATTCAATTTTCTTTTTGCTATAGAACGAAAAGAAGGAAAAGAAGAAAAGGACTTTAAAGATGATGAGTTTGACTTGGATGAAGCAGAAAGCGTAGTAGCTGAATTAGCAAAAGACGGCAAAAAGAAGATACCAAAATATGCTACAAAGGATGCCAGAGACGCTGTATATTCTTTGGGTAAAAGAAATAGACAAGCAAATCAAGACGATAGACCAAATCCTGCAAAGAAGGGTATGTCTCTTCGTAAAAAGAGTAGTTTAAAGCGTCCAGGAAAAGCAAGACGTCAAAAGCTACGAAATAAACAAAAATAAACGAAATAAAGATGTAAAGTAATGCAAATAGATTTTACAAGTCCCGTGACTTTTTAATGACAGTAAAGTTTTTCGGTCTTTTTCTTCCTTCTTAAACAGTTGTAATAAAAATGGGAATTCTCGAAAAGATTCAAGACATTGAAGATGAAATTAAAAGAACTCAAAAGAATAAAGGTTAGAGTTGAAGAAGAATAAAGGATTTTTAGGGGGGAAATAATAATGTTGTCTACATACAGCCACCGAATATCACCTTGGTCTTTTGAAAGGAAAGTTGGCCAGATACCGTGCTCAGTTACTGGAAGGTTCAAAAACAAAGTCTGAGAAGGTGAAGACAATACAAAAAAGCTTTAAGGGAAAAAGCCTAACTATCATGTTTTATCTAGGGTGAAGGTTTCGATGTCATGAAATCTGGTGATGCGCGCGTCGTCATGATTGGTTTTCCTTCCGTTGGTAAATCAACTTTACTATCCAAGCTTACTACAGCAGAATCTGTTGCTGCAGCCTATGAATTTACAACCTTGACCTGTGTACCTGGCAAGTTTACTTACAAAGGAGCAAATATTCAGTTACTTGATTTGCCTGGTATTATTGAAGGCGCCTCACAAGGCAAGGGTCGTGGACGTCAAGTTATTGCTGTAGCACGTACTGCCGATGTCATTTTGATGATGCTGGATGCTACGAAATCTGCTCAACAAAGGTATATATAAAAAAAAAAAAAAAATAGAATTTATTATATTGGACCATGGATTAAAAAAAAAACAAATTCATAGGCCATTATTGGAAGCAGAATTAGAAGCTGTAGGCATTCGTTTAAATCAGTCCTTTCCCAATGTATCGTTTAAAATTAAAAAAGCAGGAGGAATCAGCTTTAATGCAACCGTGAAATTAACAAAGATGGATCAGAAAATGGCTCAAAACATTTTACATGATTACAGTAAGCAAAAAGATATTGAACTAGATCTACTGAATAATCTAACCTGTTTGCTTTAAAGAAATATTCAATGCTGATATAGTCATTCGAGAAGATATAACAGTGGAACAATTTATTGACGTAATCCTCGGCAATAGAAGATATATTAAATGTATTTATGTATGTATAAAAAAGCAATACATGGAGCTTTTATTCACCTTGTGCGTAAATAGTGCTATAATAAGATTGATCAAATTAGTTTGGAAGAAGTAGATAGATTGGCACATGAACCGGATACTGTAGTTGTTTCTTGTGAAGAGGATCTCAATTTGGATTACTTGCTTGAATCCATTTGGAGAAAATTGAACTTGATGCGTATTTATACAAAGAAGAGAGGAGAATACCCTGATTTCGGTGATGGACTCATTGTTAGAAATGGTGCAACTATTGAACATGTCTGTCATGCAATCCATAGAAGTTTAGCAGATAATTTTAGATACGCACTAGTCTGGGTAAGAGTGACAGTTGATATCGTTTGATACCGTTTATTAAACCATGCTTGACATTTTTAGGGAACATCAACTAAGCACAATCCACAGAGAGTAGGCATTAGTCATTTAGTTCACGATGAAGATGTTGTGCAGGTTGTTAAAAAATAAAATCATGCATTTGTTTGGATAAACATGGACTCTCATGCTTCAAACAGCGAGAAAAAACTACAGCACAAAGTATGAATGGATATTGCAGCAATCTTTGCAATAGGTTTAATCGGTTTTAGTGAAAGCAACGTTAGGTGTTTGAACGATAAGAATACGCTATACTTTATTCATGTTTTCTAACTCTGGAAAAAGACTAAATATCAGCTCATCAAGCAACACATAAGCCAAATCTTGGTTTAATCTCTTATTTTGCAAAACTGTAAACAGTCTTCTTGCTCCTTTACGAGCGTTCTGTCTTCCAACCATATTACCAAGCAAATCTATTTAAGAGTTAATGGCAATTAGTAAAATCATAGCAATCGAGCTTCCTTACCTGGTAGCCAAGTAGATAACTTTCTATTCGCTTCCTCTTTTGTCTGTACTTTTTCTTCAGGTTTTCTAGGTTCCTTGAATGTGAGCGGCCCTCCATTTGGCCATAAACTATCCGCTACTTTATTGATATATGACACAACCATACTTGGAGAGCTCAAAGACTTTACTATCTCTCTTAGCTTTCTGTAAAAATAAACAATAAGATATGCTAAGTTTACATTACGGTCTCCTCTTTACCTTTCAATCGTTCCTTCTAATATTTGTTGAATGATTATAACAATAGCTTGCCTTCTCAACCAATTTGTCTTGTCTTTAAGCTCAAACATTTCTATAAAAAGATCACATAAGGGCTCGGTAAACCTTGTGATTCCTTCTGCCTTGATCGAATCTGGAAGACTTGTTGTGCTTGCTTGTAATGCAGAATCTGCTAATTTACTACTATTAATGCTCACAACTGAACTGCTTGTACTGGCTGTTGTCTTTGTACTGTGGTTATCTTCATGAGAAAATTCAGTTACTTGCTCGCCCAATCTTTGGGTAATCAAATCCAACATAGAAGGCGCGATTAGTATGTCATCAATACCGGCAGCCACAGTCTTATAAATGTGTCTCATGAATCCTTTCGAAGGCTTTTTCTGTAATGCATGTTTTTCTTGTTCTCCCAAAGCAATGATCGATTTCTGTAGATTTTGAACAGAAGGTGAACTGGAAGGTGTGCCAAGCTGATCTGCTGGCCCTGGAATAAATATATTTTGTTGTGATAAAAATGCGCGCAACTCTTGACTTTTACAAATCTCTTCATCATCAACCAATCGTCTCAAGTATCGCTCTAGACTAACTCTTCTTGCTTCCAAAAAGGGCTTTTGTAGTTTTAGCAGAGGCCATTTGGCTGGAAACTCAATCATTTTAACAGCCGGATAGGTCTCTTTTAGCTTCTGGTGAAGAGAAAAGAATTCGCTATATCTTCTTGCTACAATCCAGCCTGATACATAGTTCCCATCACATCCTAATTGCTGTATTTCAATCACATAAAGAGCAAAATCACCATGCTTGTCAGAGCCAATGGTTGCATTTGTAATGCTCACTTGCGACCGATTGGGTACAAGCGTATTTTCGGTTTCCTGTAACTCATATTGGCTTTTCTGGTATTTCATCTGTTGCAACTCTTGTCGAAACATGCTTTTGCTCTTTTTCAGAATACGTAATTCCTCCAGCTTGTTTTGAAGTTCAGCCTTTTCAATTAATGCATCCACAATGGCCTCCTGCGCGGTAAGTTTATCAATTTCCTTTGAAAGCTGTTCAACCTTTGCTTCCAACAAAAGGTCACCAGGTGGCGCAAAATGAATGTTTTTCACTGGCTCATCCTCTTGCTCTGATTTCTTCGTCTCGAGTGTATGTACGCTAGGTGACCTAGTGACAGTCTCCAAGGTATTATGTTCAACCTCTGATATAGTATTTGTCCCACCTGAGGATGTCCAAGAGGGTAATGTATATATCTGCTGTACGGGCAAAGCAGTGCTTGACTTTACGCCTTTAGAGTTACCCAATAGAAGTATAGATGAAGCAGATGTGGATGAGGCCAGAGATTTGGCTGCAGATTGCTCTGTTTGAATTGGGTCTTCATTATTCCTGTCTACAGAGTTATTATTTGTGGATACTTCTTCCAGGTTATTGCTATCTAGAATAGATCTTAATTCTGCCTCTACTGCATCAACTGTATTGCTTCTTATCAGCTTATTTCTTTTGTTCATTGGATTAACTGTCTCTTCCTCTTCCTCTTCATCATCGTCCGCCAATTCCGTTGATTTTACAGATGAAGGTACCGAACCGTGATCTGCTGTTGCACTTTGTGGTCTTTCAGAGTTCCATAAACCGGAGCCAAATACACTAGAAAGCGAAAGAAATCTTGAACCTGAAAGTGGTCTGGGGGAATCAGATAGAGCGCGCTGGTGTCCTCGCGTTCTACCATATTCTGGTATAGACGATTTCAGATCAAACTGAGAAGCTGTAGCTGATGCGCTCATATTCTTGTTGGATATTTCTGAATCAGAGTCAGCCTTTTGTCGATGATCATCAGGAAGTGGTCGACTATACAATGTGCCTTCATCTAAGCTATGTCTAGAAGGAGAAATACTATCTTCTTTTGTTGTTGAAGACGATAAAAACTTGAAATACAAGTCGGAGCGTTTAAAATAAGGAAAATGCTCTTTATCAATCTCCCAAAATATTTGTTGCTGCATTCTATATAGCTTTAGCCTTAGCTCTCGTATGTTATCGTCAAACGATGGTTCATTTGTCTCTGCCAATTCAATGGCGTTTCGTAAGTCTGCTACCAGTTGCTCTGCTATATGAAGCTTATGTGGAGCTGCATCTTTGAAATAGGTTTCATACACCATCTTTACATCTTCCAGAAACGTCTTTTGATCATCTATTGTGTTTTTAAACCCTTCTACGATCAACCAAAATTGAAGTTTGACCATATCTTTTTGACGATCCATAAATTCCATAAAATAGGATAATCCAGAAGTGTTTGTCAGTATGTCATGTAAGTTGTATCCATTATTAGAATGAGTGGTGATACTCTTTTTCCTCGAAAATAATTGAGAAGTTGATTTTTTCTTTAAACAAGTATAAATAAAGGTGATGTGCGTCCATTTTTTATACTTACAAAATTATATTCTTCGCCTGTCAGTGTAGCAATTCGTTTATCCACCCTTTTCTTTGCTATACTCAGTCTATTGATATATACCATGATATCCTGTACCCTTTCTCCATCCATGATTTCTTCTGGATCTCGATCTACTATCTGTGCCTTCTTCTTTCTTAACTGAGTAACAATGTCGTTTCTCAATCGTTTCAATTCCAGTAGATTTTGCTCTTCTTGTATAACTTTTAAAAACTCTCGGAATGAACGTCTTCCCGTGCCTCGCTTCTGCTTTCCTTCTAGAGCGTCGTCCTGTTGTGTGACACCAAGGAACGTAGATGAAATCTGACTTGTTAGGCCAGTTTTCTTGCTACTTAAATCAAAAAAGTTCATAACCTCCTCTTCTTCTTCTGGGTCCAATTCATTTGTTGAGTGTCGATTTAGCACCTCTCGTAATTGCTGTACCATTTGCCTACATAATTATATATATATATATATGTATATAAGCAATAGAGTATTTTAAAACCAGCAAGAATACGTTTTTACTGTTCAATAATTGCCTTTCCCAACTAAAAAAAGAAGAAGGATTTAGTATGGTCATGCGTGCAAAATGAACATTTGGTGACTAACATAAGCATCAATTGTTTGATTCCAAAAGTCAGGATCAGCCAACATGTCCATAATAGGTTGGAGTATTGAACAAGACACGACTTCTCTGATCACAACATGTACAAGGCCGCTACTTGTGTCCTTTTGATCAAAAATAAGTGGTAATACACGATCCATCAACTGTCGAAGATACGCAACTTCAGTTGGTTTAGTAGTTACTGCTCCTGTCGTTAATGCAGCATGTAACCTCCCTTGACGAAACTGCGAAGCGAGCAAAAGATCCAGCTCATCTGATTCAGTCACTGACCTTTCAAGGTACTTACCACGTAAAGATATCTCTGCTGCACGAAAATCGGATATATGTGAAGTCACTTTAGGTATCACTCGATTCAACAAGACATGTAACAGATCGATTTGCTGAAGTCGTTTGCTGACCTGTACGGCAGCTGATCGAATGATATGATTGACTGAAATAGAAAACGATTGTTCTTGTGCTGCTATTTTTTGAAACCACGATTGGATGAAGTCTCGAATAACGAGTTGTATTAAATGGTCTAGTGCGGTATCAACTTCATCTAAAGTTGTTATTTCTTGGTGTTGTTGAATGCTTTCGGCGTGTCGTGAGTGCTCAAGGCTTGACCAAACAGCCTTATGAGTAAGTCTTAAAGGCTTGAAGTTGTCTACTTTATGCTGTCTTGCTGATATGATATATTTAAGATAGATATATAGCACAATGGTGTTTATAGAAAATAAAGCAAGTAGACTGACCATGGGCAAGCTTATGGCGTATATCAGATATGTTTTATTGAAACCGAAGCATATTATTGTGGACAAACATATGCAGAAGAACACTGCGAATCCCATTCTGCCGTCCATTTCATGATTGCAAGAAGAAAAGATACGATTTGTGAGATTTTTAAGCAAATTGTGTTCATGTGCCCTATGTACACCCATTTGGGTCAGTTATTCACAACAAAATTGATTGGCTTGGAGTTTTCAGATACTTGAGCTTGCATCAACAAGGGGCATATCTTGCTTCATTGTCTTGTTTCTTCTTACTGGAACGTACAAACTGCTCAAAAATAGCCAAAAGAGGGCGGGCGATTCTTTTACTACTTTTTGAAACGCCATTGTATAAAGAAAAGAGGAACGTGACTCGAGAAGGCATTGGTCGCACTGAATGGCCGGAGCGGAGAGAACAACGATTGGTTAAGACACTTTATGTACTCTAAGATGTACCTGTGGCTTTTGACAGGTGCTTTTTTTTTTTCTTTCTAAAAAATAACAATGTCCAAAGATCAACAACCAACAGAAGCCTTGAATGCTGTATTTGTCGAATCAATTGACATGCCAGACGATGCTGTCTTGATTAAAGGCCCAGATTTTAACAAGAAATTATCACTTTCTGAACTGCTGGGCGCATATAAACAGATTGGATATCAAGGTAGCAGCTTAGGTGAAGCAATCGACATTATAAAAGAAATGGTAGAAAGAAAAAGAAAAAACCATAATAAAAAAATATAATGACACAAAGCTGTACAGAGAAAATGGCGACTAAGTGATGAGCCTGTGGCAGTTGATGAAGTACAAGAATACCTTGATCCTGAAGTACGTAAGAAGACAAAGTGCAAAATTTTTCTGGGTTATACTTCCAACCTTGTTTCTTCTGGTTTACGAGAGATCATTCGATTCCTTGTTCAGCATAAGATGGTCGATGTTATTGTTGCAACAGCAGGTGGTGTCGAAGAAGACTTTATCAAATGTTTAGCACCTACATACTTGGGTGATTTTGCATTAAAAGGCAGTGATCTTCGTAAGAAAGGCTTGAATCGTATTGGTAATCTATTAGTACCTAATAACAACTACTGCAAGTTTGAAGATTGGATCATTCCAATCTTTGACGTCATGTTGGAAGAGCAAAAAAAGGACAACAAGATATGGACCCCTTCTACTATGATTGCAAGATTGGGCAAAGAAATCAATGACGAATCCAGTATCTATTATTGGACCTATAAAAACAATATACCTGTCTACTGTCCTGCAATCACAGATGGTTCCTTAGGAGATATGCTCTACTTTCACTCTTACAAAAACCCTGGATTGATTGTTGATATCGCAGCCGACATTCGTGCAATGAACAATGAAGCCGTGTTTGCAAAGAAAACTGGCATGATTATTCTTGGTGGCGGTGTTGTCAAACATCATATTTGTAATGCAAACTTGATGAGAAATGGTGCAGACTATGCCGTTTATATAAACACAGGTCAAGAGTTTGACGGCAGTGATGCAGGCGCTCGCCCAGATGAGGCTGTCTCATGGGGTAAAATTCGTGCTGATAATCGATCTGTTAAAGTGTATGCAGATGCCACACTTGTATTTCCACTTATTGTAGCAGAGACATTTGCAAGAGAGTATCACGAAAAATAGAAATTGTAAAGTTTTGTTATATGTAAATAAATGTTTGCCATTAGACTATCGCATATGAATGGTTGTTTTATAGTAGTTGTCTACGAGCTTATTATTCAATAATGTATTATATGGACGAGTAAAGAAGCATGAAGATATTATACACGCTTGTGTATATTAATGGATATTTATTTGATAATTTAAGTTAAACATATCATTGAGGGCTAAACACGGCAGGATTTCCATTTTGAAGTTGGAATGTAATAGCGTTGTTCTTTACTGTAGCTGTTGCGCCAGAAAAGACGTCCTTCAGAATAGTGCCATCAGCAAAACTTCCTGATTTTACTGTAACAGAATTCGTAGAGCCTTGACCATAGTTGTTTACGACAGCCAAATAATTGCCACGCTGGAACGCATAGACATTGTTTGCTTGATCGATATCCATTGTTACTGTAGCATTGGAGCCCTTACGTATTTGTATCACCTGTTTAATAAATTGATACATCTCTGATGAGCTTGAGTAACCACTGGTCCACAAAGGCTCTCGATTGTTAGGATCATTGCCTCCTTTGTAAGATTGCTCGGTACCATAGTAAACAACAGGAATTCCTTGGATTAGCATAGAATACGTCAAAGCATTTTTTACTAAACTCTGATCAGCCTTGGATAATAATCGAGGATTGTCATGGTTGTCAATAAAGTTTAAAAGTAAGTTCAGATTATTGAAACCGCCCGATTGGATATCATTGTAGCCTGACTTGAGACGAGTCATTGTAGCTGCTTTCGTAAAGACGTCGTATATAGGGTAATATAGCGGGTAATTGATGAGGGATGGGACATGGGATTGGTAAGGAGCAACATAGGATACGCTACCATGCAACACTTCTCCTGTCGCAAATACACCAGCAGCCTTGACATATCCGTCCCAAAAGTCCTTGCGTACATGCTTTACGGTATCTATTCTGATTCCATCAAAGCCATATTCAGAAATCCAGTTAGATACAGTCGAGTATAGAGTGTTGACAACGTAATCGCTCTCGGTATTAAGGTCTGGTAAGCCAGAAAGCCAGCATTGCTCTACAGAGGTTTGGTCATTGTAATTGACATCACAGTAAGAATGATAGTAGGAGCCTTGGTTAAAAGTATAGCCATTGTAATTATTTTGCGTAGAAGGCGTTCCGACATGGTTAGCTACTACGTCCAGCATGACATACATATTCTTTGCATGAGCCGCCTGCACCAATTTCTTCAGGTCATCGGACGACCCAAAGTTTGAATTGATTGCGGAAAAGTTAGTAGCCCAGTAACCATGATAACCTCCTTGAGCATTCTGAGGAATTGGTGATATCCAGATAGCATCAAAGCCCATACCAGCAATGTAGTCCAAATGGTTTATGATGCCTTGAAAGGATCCACCACAATAGTTACTCAAGTTAGAGCATGGACTTTGATCATCTACCGTCTTGGCAAATCGATCTGTCAGCAGCTGATAGATAACTCTTGACGACCAGTCATTACTATTCTGACTTCTGATCGTGATAGGAGATGCATTAGCAAAAATAGGAGTGAAGAGAAGAGGACACAAAAGAGGCAACAATAGACGCATTTTTCCAATAGATGCAGGAATGAAAATAGAACCTATATCCGCTCTATATATATATATATATGCAAATGGTTTTATTAAATGATACCAGGTTAAATGGCATGGCATGTATCACTACCATTACACATAATTTATGACTGAATAATAACTGAATTATCCAGAATAAATCCTTTCCCGCTGCATTGGTCCACAAGATGTTACATTGATTGACAATATGTTTTCAGAATAATACAGTTTCCATTGAACTTCACATATCATAGCAAATGACAAACTTGGTTTATCAATGCCGAACCTACTTCATCGTTACCCAAGCATTGAGTCCTTGCATAGAAATTACTATCCTCTTTCTCTCTTTCTTTGTCTTTTTCTTTTTATCAATGGATCGTATCACTTATACCATTTTTCCCTATATTTTTTTCAGTCTTCTTTCATTAATCAGATGAACTTGGCAATAAATGTTTATGTTACATGACATATTTTGTGTTTGTGCACATGAGGTGCTACATCTGTTATAGTAGCTTTTAATATAAGAAAATGCCTTGATAAAAAAAAGGTACAGTAGTCAGATATATTCAATATAAGGTTTGATCATTGTGTATGTGTGTTTGGATCCAACTGATAATTGTGTCTAAAACAAAAATTTTGTAACTTAGAAACTAAACCATGTTACTGCATCTGCATAAGTCGGGAGATTTGATTAGGCTTTACGGTATCTATCAGGAAAAAAAAAAAGGAAAGGGGAAACCACGGCATCTTTATAGTTCCTTTATTCAGGTACCGTTTATTTCAAGAAGATGACAGAGGTGAGTGATCCAAGTGTAAAATTTATCAACTTGAGCACTATCTTGGTATACTCTCTCAATGACGTATCTAATTTTAGACCATTCTTTTAGATAAAGAAAAAAACATGAACTACAGTGTTGGTCAGTAGAACTTGTGGTTGAACAGTAAAATGTTTAAATGATCAGTAAGATGCTTTTGCCACCAATAAAAATACACCTTTCGCCGTATCGTTTAGGGCTTTGCTATTTGCACTGCACATTTGCAAAGCATTTTCACAATTAGTGACGTAAGTAATTCAATTTGCACAGCAAACGGCACTAGACAAACCATACCTACGCAACACTACGTACAACACTGAAGTATAAGAGAAGCATATGTCGATGAGTCTGTAATAATCTTTTTATTATGTTGAGACGAGAGAGGGAACTCATTATACATTTTATTAGAAAACAGGAGTATTGCATGAAATTAAGGACCAACTAAAACTGGGCATGACGCGTCTATAAGAATAATGCATTTTATGGTCAGTTTTCTTTTGTTTTCTTTCTTCAAGTAATATTTTACAAGATAGATTATTTATAAGGCGAATACGATAGGTATGCTGCTTGCTCTGCAAATTGAATTGCTTATGCTAATGCTGCACAAATAGCAAAGCCCGTATTTTCGTGTGTGAGTAGTGTTTCCTGATTATTTTCTTTACAATAAAAATGGAACTTCGTAAGTTTACAAAATGGATTGTAAAATACTAGGACTAACCTTTTCATTTGTAGAGAGAGAATCCGCTTACTTTCCGTTGCCTTTAAATTTCAGGTCAGGAACAGACTTGAATAGCAAAATTTTACTCAACGACAAAAGAAAAATAAATCTAATTGTTAAGTCTTTACTTGGTAAATATATCTTTCTTAGTCTGTAACAAGCTGTTTTTATTTAAAATGCATTGTTTTATGTAGGCGAGCATGCTCCCAACGACCATTTTTATTCAGCACAAACAGAATGGTCGGATGACACCAAATCTGACGTCCTTTATACTAGGAGTAAATGTCTAAACTCCAGAAGGAGAACCGTGTTCGATACGGCGACAAAATGC